TGAAGTGAAAGGCCAATTACTCAGTGAGTCTACAAAAATCTCTCGGTGTATTACTGAAGCCACCTCATTCCAGGTCTTAGAGAACTGGACAGAGAAACACCTTATGTAACCTTCTGGGAGAATTTTAATGAACAGGTCCATGGGCAGAGATGGTGTTTGTCTTGGAACTTACAGTTCGGCACCTGGCTAGTTGAACTGAGGGGTTTCTTTTTGGCCCAGTGGTATAAGCCTGTAATCCTGGCAGTTCGGGAGGCTGAGGCAGGAGCATTGCAAGTTCAAAGCCAGCCTCAGCAACTTAGTGAGGGCCTCAGCAACTTAGGGAGACCCTGTCTCTAAATAAAATACAAAAAAGGGTTGGGAATGTGGCTCAGTGGTTAAGTGTCTCTGAATTCAATCTCCCCCCGCCCCAACCAACCAAACAACAACAACAACAAAATTGAGGGGTTTGAACAGGAAGGGAGGGAAAACCATGGTACTAGGCCAGTGCATTCTACTTGTGGTATCTCAGTCTCATCTGGTTAAAAGCAGGGTGGCTCCTTGTTGGGTCCTCCTTACTGTGGTGATTTGATTGCTATCTCTTTTATCATCTTTTGAGTTATGTTCTTCATGAGTTGACTGGTTCAAAGCTTTTCCAAGACCTGCATTGCAGAACTCCTAGAAGATTGATTTTGTGCAGAAAGTAGCAACAGCTTCCATGTGTCTAACAGCTTATGGCCAGCAGCTGTTTAGAGCCACCCAGCAGTGGAATATGTGGTCGGAAGTGGGGAACGTGCTGATCAGTCCAGACTATCCTTTCAAATAGTTTGCCTCTGATTTATGCCTTTCTTTTGTTTTTGTTTTATTTGTGATGCTGGGGATTGAACCCAGGGCATTGGGCAGATGCTCTTCCCCTCAGGTGTATCTCCATCCCCTGGTTTTGTTTTTCAAAGGAAAGTTAGTGAATGTATAGATTTTCCATTTAACAGAAATATATTGAGTGTCCTGATAGATCCTATTATGATCTACACACTCTGGTAGCTAATACTGAGGAGTGGTGTGTGGGGGGAAGTTACAGTGATGGAATTAAGATGTCTTGTTCTCAAGGGACAGGAAGAAAAGACACATATACAAAGTCCAGAGGAGTGATTCATTTAATGTGCTAAATGCAGAGAGGATAATAATACGTATCTTGGGAGATCAGGGACATGTGCTTAGAGAAGGTGGCTTTGACATGGATATTAAATGGTAGGTAAGAGTTCATTGTTAGAGGTGGAATAGAAATAAAGAAAGGGACATTTTAGCCCAGCAGATGACATAAATGGAAGTGTAGAGATGGGATTTTTTTTTTCATGAATCACCAACAAAACCCAGAATCATGGGTGACATGTACAGAATAGAATTTCTTGAGACTACACTGTGGAAGGTTTTGCCTGTTCAACTCAGATTTATATTTTATAGGTAAAGGTCACTAGGAATCCATGGAGGATATTAGAGCAAAAGAATGACATGAACAAATATTTGTGGGGAAAGTCTAGTTTCAACTAATTGTAGTTGACATGGGGGTTGGAGAGACAGAGATTCTGATGGTATCTGGTGAAGGGATCCTGAGGAAAATGGTGGAAGGAAAGGTCTGGAAGTGTCAAAGGAGAAAGTGGTTATGGAGGAAATAATGTTGAGACTTGGTGTCTTGTAAATGTTCAAGCCACAGAACAGGGTGAAAAAGAAGGCAAGGCCACGTTCTGTGGAAATGTATCTGGAAGAACTGTCCAAAGCAGGCAAGTGGAGTGCAGGAACCCATGGAAGATAAATTGGAGTCAATTTGCCTGTGGCACATGTGATTAGAAATGTATGGAATTAGTTAGAAATGATGCGTTGGTGCCCAGGAAGGCACTGGGGCTGGCGATGAGTTTTGTATGTGTGTTGTATGAGTCATCAGATGGCAGGAGTTGGGATGAGGAAAGGCAGGAGTTCATAGGAGTAGTTAGGAGCTGAGAGTGACGCTGTGCAACACACAAAACATGATAATAAATGATTGAAGAAATGGGTGTTATTGATCCTCCTGAACAGCAGGGGCACCATAGTGAGAGTGGAGGAGTCATGGGAGAGTGGGAGGAAATGGTTAGGGCAGATGGAGGGCTGGGGCATTAGAATTGAGAGCTGGTGGTTTTGGCTTATACATTTAATACATTGCCTCTAACAGAGATTTGCCAGAGAGCATTTGGGAACAGAACTATAGACTTTGTACAGTTGAAGTCAATGAGATCCATGAGGAACTGACTGATTAAATAAAGCCGGGAAGAAGTGAAATTTGAAGTTAGGAAGCTAGAGGTAAAAGAGGAACTGCAGAGTCTTGCTTGGACTTCATTGAGGGATTGGTTATAAATTTCTCCTCTGTCTTAGAAGCTCTGGAAAGGACATTACAAAAGGAAGGAGTAGTAACAGTGTCAAGGCTGATGGGAAAAGAGCATTGGAATTAGGGTTTGGGGGTGGGCATGGTAATATTTGATTGGTCTTGGCTGAAGTGGGGCTGGGAAGTAGGCCGAGGAGCCAGCCCTTTCCTTATATAATGGTCATTTTAGTCAGCTCAGCGGCATTATGGGTGTTCAGTAATCATCATTCCTTTTCCTCTGTGGGTTAGAGTTTTCCTTTAATCTTTTTCTATTGAGTCTAAGCTTTGTGCTTCCCTGGTCTTTGTTCCTTTCATATATCTGACTTCAGAATGTTCTAGATATGAGTACCCCCAGAGACTTCTGTGTTTTTAAACTTGATTCTGTATCTGTGAATCAGACCTGAATAGAAAGCTGAGTAATTCTGAGAGACCTCAACCAAGAAGTTTAATTCTGGGAATAATTGTTTCCAATGCCTTGTCCTACCTCAACAATACCTTTTTTTGGGCCTAATTTGTTGCTTCAGTGTAATTTTAGGCTGAAAATGTGTTTGATGCTTTAGGATACAAGAAGTAAGATTTGGGATGGGAGACTCTCTGATAGCCCTTTCTTTGGAGGGGATCTCTGGTAGCTGGAAGTAGAAAATGATATGAGAAAAGTTTTGTTCCTACAGTTTCTTTGCCCTGTGGTTGAGAGCACATTTGCCCCTCAGCTCACAGCCAGAGCCATAAACAATGGACAGGTCCTTGCAATGGCCCAGGACTGTGGAACCTGTAACTTTCCTGTAGACCCCAGTCACCACTGCAAATCATATTCTAAAGGAGACAGACTCAGAATGTTGAGAATATCCCTAAATCTTGCCATTCCTCAATAATTCTCAGTTCCCTGGAGGACATTATGTTAGAAGTAAGTCAGATTCAGAAAAGCAAATAGCATATGTTTTTACTTATGTGTGGAAACTAAAATGTTGATTTTGAAGAAGTAGAGAACAGAGCAGTGATTACCAGAGCTTTGAAGGCCCTGGATGTAGAGGATAGTTAATGGGTTCAGGGGGACATATGGGTAGAAGAAATAGCGTTGTTTTTTTTTTTTTTTTTTTTTTGGTATATGTGTGTGCTGAGAATCAAACCCATGCTAAGAATCTCACACATGCTAAGCATAAGCTGGACAGCTGAGCTACATCCTTAGCCCAGGAGGAATAACTTCTAATGTTCTATAGCACAGTATGATAACTATAGTCAATAGACATTGTTACCTATACAAAGTCTGCCTAAGAGACATTGTTCTGAACACCCGGAGGTGGAGGTAACGGAGGAGCTAATTGGGGGACACTGCACATTGAGCTGGAACTTTTTGCAGAGCTAGAGGGTCCCTCAAAGAGGACTACACGGTGCTCAGAATTACCAGACAGAACAGCATCTTGTCAAGGGCAGGATACTTGGAGGAAACAGAGCTCTTTCAGTGACTTGGGAAGGCCAGGAGCCTAATCTTTCAGGAATCTTTTTGCCATTTTTAATGAATTCCTTCTAAAATTAAAAGTAATTCTCACAACAGCCTTGAGGGACAGGTGGTTCTATTCCCATTTAACAGAGAAGCTAGATGAAGTTCAATAGATTAAGGAAATGGCATTTATACTGCAGACAAGTTGACAGAGCTGGATCTGCACTGGTCTGCCGGATTCGGAATCTCTTCCCAGACACCACATTGCCCTTTTGGAGGGATAAGAGTAGACCATGGTTTTATATAGATAGCCTTTGGATGGGTGTATATGAAAATCCAGGATCTTGTATAGTACTTCTCTGATTTCTTTCCTCTCTTCCCATCCAGTTCTTGTCTGTGATCTATTCTTTTGGTTGCAAACCACTCCCTACTATACAGGGCAAGCAGTATCTGTTTGCATCCAAAGCAGAAAGAGTTTCAACAGCCACATCTCCGGAGGGTGAGCTGGTGTGTCTCTTTGCTGCATTTCTTCTATCTGGGGGCAGGCAGAGCACAACTGTGGCTGTCAGGGAGGGAGCACAGCTGAAGTCAGCCTCCAGTTGATACCTCGGCACATGGTATCATGGTCACATTACTCCAGTGTGACTGACTCAAGCTGTTGTGTGATTGGTATTTATTAGGGCCACAGTTGGGAGAAGAATTCTATGCACTTTGTAGGAACAATTTCACAATGTCTCATATCCCAGTTGCCACATGTTCTCATAAAAATATCATGAACCCAAGCTTGTTTGCAGAAAACCGAATGGCTGCTTGCCCAATTCATGTACCACTTGAGGAATTCTGGTTATACCTTGACCTTGTGACCTTCTATTGCCTGTGAGGTCTTTGAAGGAAGCCCCATTTTCATCCAGATTTTAATAAGGAAAAATTAAATATTATGCATGTTTTATTCAATTAATAATACTAAGTATAGAAAAAAGGACCACAGGGTTGATAAATCATTTATAAATTTGGTGCTGCTGGCTGGTAGATTGTTACTTTGATAAAAGTAAGAAACTCATTGACAACAACTAAGAATAGCAAATGTAAATTCTTCTTGTTTACATTTAAAGAAAATTAGGTGGTGTCTTCTTAAATTTATAAAATGATGAAATGAAACTAACAGAGAGTGTTTCCTTTTTTGTTATTTTGCAGAAAAAGCCACTGTCTGCAATAATAAAGGAAGTCTGTGATGGGTAAGTGTTCCTCAGGGTTCATTTAAAGCACTCCAGTTTATGGGTTGAAGGCAAATAAAATATTTCCAGTGCAGTAGTAAAATATTATTCATAACTCACACTTGACCATCCCAAGTCACTAAGAATTACTGCTTGAGAATTACAAACCCTTTTCCACCAAAAATTTACTAAGAGAAGAAAGTGTGAAATGGCTGGATTATCCAAAGTGGGATTGATTTTATTTATTTTGAAAAGTTGTGTTCCTTTTGTTCTACTCAGTGGGGAGCAGTCTAAAGGTTCCTGAGGTTAAATACACACTGCATCTGGTGTAAGCTAAAAGGTCGCTCAGGTCCTCATAGAAGATGAAAGAATTGAGAAGACAAGTCCATGGGCAGTTGGACTGCCATGTGGAATTTTACTCTGATATGGCTTTCCTACTTCTCTTTGGCTGTTCTGACAGTCCAAGGGAAAGCACATATGAAAGTTGCATGAGATTTTGACTTGTAAAGCAGAATTGTGTACAGAGTATTACTTGGAATTTATGTAAGACCAGGAATCCTTAATTGGAGTATTCCAATCTGCATCAGGCATACAGATTGGGGATTATTGAACTCAGACAATTGAAATGTGTTAATTATCAAAATTTAAATTGCATTTGTTTCCTTTGTTTTCCTTTCTCCGCTTGAATCTTTCAAAGTAGGAAAGAAGGTTCCAATTTATATTTAAATCTCTCACCTCCGTCCCTGAAGATGAAATGCTTCCAGGTGAACAGTAAGCTTGGAATAGGTCCAGATAATCCATAGACGAAATGTTTGGTGTTAGGGTAATGAAGCGTGGGCTAACACCATTTACTTGAGAAACTCCATTGTGGTGTATTAGTCAGGACTGCTCATCCTAATCATAGGGCCTTTTAATTCATCCAGCTCTATGCAATTAATAAAAATGAACATGATCACTTTTGTTCTCCTGATCACTTTATGCTTATATTTTTTAAGGTGGTCTCTTGCCAACCATGAATATTTTGCACTGCAACATGCTGATAGTTCAAACTTCTACATCACAGAAAAGGTAGGTCGGCTACATTATTTCATCTGGGACACTATATTTAAGGAAAGTAAATCATGACTGAGGTTTCCTGTTTCCTCTGCTCAGGACTAGACATGCTGGTCTGAATTCTACATCTCTGCCATCTATGGAAATAGGGTCTGTAAAGCAAACAACTGCTGCTTTAGTATCAACAAGACAATATTTAGTTCATTTAAGAGTGAAGACCAAATAATTTCTGAGTCTTGTTTAGCAAACTACTTTTGCTTCCTAACAGTGAATGTTAATTACTTCTCTTTCTCATTGTTTGATTAAGGAATTTGAAACTTAATGACTTAGTTTAACTTTCTTCTCACATCCCTCCCCCCTTTTATTTTTGCTTAAAATACTTGAAATAATGACAAGAAATCTTTACAAATACTTGGGAACCTGCTTTCTTATTGGATGATTTTTCACTCCTTAATATGCCTAGATAAAAGGAGGGATTCATAAGGACCATGAATGGCCTGGCAGCAAGTAAAATTAATATCCAAGAGATCCAGGCTAGGATCTGAGCCAGGCAAATGAACATCTGTTTGTTGATTTTTTTTTCCTGAAGATTAACCTGTGATATAAAAATATTGGCTTTGGTTAATAGATAATAAACTGAATCACTGGGGTCAAATGGCCAGACTGATGTCACATACTTGATTTTTCAGGAAAGAAGTGAGTTTAGATCTTTGTGCTTCTATGATTTTGTCTTTTTGGAAATTTTTAGAATAGTTTAACACTCAGCTCGATTTTGGGGAAAAACTCCCTGAAATGCATAGGAATCTGTACTGTCCTCATGGAACTTTGTGGGGTTGATGGGTAGGGAAGGAACAGCTCAGTGAACAGCTGCCATTACAAGATGGTCAGCCCTGGAATGGAAGTGAGTACGAACTGCTTTGGGAGGAGAGAGAATAACACAGTTTTGTTCCAATCAGCATGAGTCAAGTGGTGGAAGGTGGACACAGTGAAAAGGATCCTACACACACTTGTGCCTCCCTTGCACTAATTTGGAGAGGATGGGGATTCCATTAGCAGGAGGGGGCTGGCTAAATGCCTGGAAATGCTTCTCAGAAATTGTTCTTCCCAGATGGACACTGCAACTTTTGTAAGGGATCATGCTTTCTTTCCTCTTCAAATGGATTTGCTACAAAACTGAGAATTAAGGAGGGCCCCAGATTTCCTGGCGAGTGTTGGTTGCATATATTAATTTTACCTTTTCTTAATTCCGTAAACATTTTGTTTCCTGTCTCTTTCCCCTTTGCTTGGTTTCTGAGTATAATTATTTGTTGTACAAGTTCCATGTGAGATAAGGAACATATAAATAAATACAAGTTGAATGTGAGCAGTTAAGTGTATCACCTGCTTTCATTCATCAACCTTGGATAGTGAAATCAACTCAGTCGGTGGCAAGAGCATTAAAAAATGAGAGTAGAATAGTTCAGAGAATATGTCACCTGTATTGTTTGTGAACTCTTTGTTTCAGACACCCACATGTGAAATGCATGTAGACTGTACTATTTTGTTTTTTTTCTTTTATCCTTTGGTCAGAAAGCTGTTGAGTCACAAGTGGCTTTGCCATTGATTAATGTGTATGGGCTTGCGGCTTGTGTCCCCACTGGCTGTTGTGTCTTCTGTCATCATTGTCGGAGACCTCAGTTTATTGGAGATTACTAAGACAGAGTTCTCAGACTTCAGAGAACATAAACACTATGGGGAGACTACTTTAAAAATGTAGGTTTCCAAATCCGAACTGCAGAAGTCCAGATGGTGCAGGACTTCCTTGGGTATTTCAGAGGGGTCTCTTTTCTGAAGACGAGGACCCCTGCATAGAGAGCACAGTGTACTCTGATCACAGGTTGTCACAGAGTTTGATTGAGGAGTGTGTTTGTGCACCCCCTTTCTTGGAATCACTTAAAAAATAATAGCATCCTATAATGTTGCTTTCTCTTTTCCTAATTACAATTCAGATACACTCAGAAAATCCAAACTCCTGAGAACAGGATAACATTTATTATTTTGTGAGGCATCTTAATCATTTTCTGGGAACCCTTGTTTGGCCTGAAAAATTCATTTAAATTCAATGTTGAATTTCAAAGGGACTGGCCCCCTAAGACTACCATTGGGTCTTTTTGTCTTCATTATTTTTTAATTAAGAGTTTAGAGAGTGAGAAGACTCATCTTCCCAGTCATAACCCTTTTGTTTGTAAATAAAATGTCATTGCTCTTCTCCTGCAGCTGTTACTGGCACAGCTGTGTGTGCGTGTGTGAGACACAGGGCTGGACACGCACAGGGCAGGAGGCGATGTTGAATCTTGGCTCCGCAGGGTCAAATCTGGGCTGTCTTCCGTGTGCTGTGTAGGTCCAAGTAATTTCTTACAAGTATTCCTAAAAATAGAGAACCTCTCCATCCTTAAAATAATGTAATTAGCATCCTCTCTGTTACTTACAGCCCAGTGAGTTGTTAGGTAATATTTGTATCGCCATGGTAACCGGTGACTAATTTCTGAAACTCGTGCATGCTGTTAGTTACAGATTTTCACTTGCATATGAGATACTCTCCCTCCCTCTGCCAAAGATAAAAAAATCACCTGTCATTTCAAAGGGAGAAAATTTTCTAGACCTGGCCTAATAAGCAAAGAGATGTGGTTAGTGGGGATGCTTGATGATTCTCTGCTAATATGTTCAGGAAGACACCTCTCCTACTTTTCTCAAGTTATCCAAATCCATTTTTCTCAATGGTGATCATCTACTCATTGGGCTGTTAACTTGGGTTTTTTAGTGCAGTAGAGAAAATGTCATGTTAAGTAGCATTCTGCTACTTGAGATTCAGCTATTTGCACATTCAAATTCTTCCCTGGGAGCCTATATTTTAGGGTGATGTCTGAAAAAGAGAGAGAGAGAGAGAGAGAGAGAGAGAGAGAGAGAGAGAGAGAAAGAATAAAAAAGTGAAAAGTGAATTGTGTGCTTCAGTGCATTTGTCTTTTGAATAAGGATTGCAGAGAGAGTACTCAGAATTTTGGTCACTACCCTTGTCACAGTTTAGTGATCATCTTCATTTTAATAAGGAAGTGAGACCAAGAGAAATTGCATGACAATGTATATAGGTCATACAGGCCAGAAATGACCAAGCTGAGACTTGGACCTTATTGGGTCTGACTCCAGAACTCTCTCTGCCACCTCTGATGAACCCTCTGTGTCCACTGTCTTGGCCCCCATTTATTTATGATGCCCTTTCTTTATTGACATCAGGCAATTGTTCCTGATGGTAATTGCCTTAAGACACGAAATGCAGGAAGTTACAGCTTGTGAGTACTGGTTACCTGTTTCAGTCTGTGGCTTCCATGTGAGGGTAAATTGTGGGAAGTTGTAACTGGTAATCTTCTGCTCACTAGGGATTAGCAAAGTGCATTCTATTTGTCTTTTGCTCTGGATTGCATGACTGTTTAAGGGAATATAATTATATTAATATCATTCTTTTTAGGCAGATGAGAAAATTGCCTTTTGTCTTTAACCCCAAGCATTCAGAAAGCTGTGTCCCCCAAAAGTTCAGGGCATGGTGAAAGAAGCATTATAGGGTTGTGTACTAGAGGATGATTTATTATGATTGCAGGACACTATTTGGCTCCACTCTGTAAGACTGACTCCAGAATGGATGAAAGTATCCTATTACCATAAATTTCTTATCTTGCAGTAACTAAGCCTATCCTATTACCATAAATTTCTTATCTTGTAGTAACTAAGCCTCATCCAGATCCTCTGCAAAGTTGGCCCCGGGAGCCTTTGGGAGGAAGTGTGGTCTTTTGGGGAACACCCCTTATTGATCATCCCCACTTTCTAAGTACTTGGGGTTCTTGGATAGTCCCTGAATTACCTAGAATCCCTGGGCAGACAGAACCGTGTGGTCTCTGGGACATGTACATTCTATTGGGGAGATCACTGTGTGTAATTTAGTTCAGTTGTCATGCTTTGGTGGACATAGCCTTAAGCAAGCATAAGCAAAACCAATCTTCAGAAAGGATGGAGGCTCAGAGATAAAGGGGATGAGGGCCTGTTCAGAGGAGATGGAGAGGGGAACATTCCTGTCTTGATCTCCATCTCTGGCTTCTGTGTCCCTTGTCTGTTTGTCCTCATGAGAGGGCCTGCTGGGGTCTGTCAGATGTGCCGCTGGATTAAAACCAGCTGTTTGGGCTGGGGATGTGGCTCAAGTGGTAGCGCGCTCGCCTGGCATGCGTGCAGCCCGGGTTCGATCCTCAGCACCACATACAGATGTTGTGTCTGCCAGATACTAAAAAATAAATACTAAAATTCTCTTTCTCACTCTCTCTCACTCTTTCTTTAATAAAAAAAAATAAAACCAGCTGTTGGCCGATTTTTGTGATTTTCACTCAAAGAGCTTTCCTAGCAATAGTATGTTCACTTGGGCAAACCAAAGCCCAGGAAAGCTGTAAATTTCCTAATTCAGCCAAATACCCTGGACAATATTCCCTTTTCTGCTGCCTGTGGTAAAAGATTCTGGATTCTTTCAAAGTAAGTCACTGTTGCTTCCTCAGGAGGCCACTCCCTTCCCCAGTCTGACCAGTGCACGCTTGCACATGGACATTGGGCCTGCTCCTACAGGACCAGCTCTCAGCTGGCCAGGATGGGTGAAGAAAAATCTTTCTTGCTCTTCTCTTTGCCCTGTCCCTTTGGGTCTTCTGTGTCTCCCAACTCCAAGCATTTCTCTCATGCTCCTCCTTGGCCCTCTCCTTTCCCTTTTGATACCTCAATGTCTGTTGTCCCCTCTGTGAAAAATGTGCCTTGCCTCCAGAATTCTTTCTTGCCCTGTGATCAAAACTGTTATTGATGCTTTACGGCTGCCCTGTTAGCAGCTTATATGTCTGTCCCCAGACTTTGTCAAAATGGGACGGTCCTAGACGGCTTATATCCAGGGCTACCAGAAAGAAATGGCCACACTGGAAGGAAACAAAACAAACAAAACCCAACCATACATAAAT